GGAGAGGTATCCAGCGAACTCTATTTGCCTGGTAGGAACTAGTATCCGGAGAGCCTCACAAATTGCTTTATTGGCTTTCTTATATTCCTGCTTAGTGTCTAACACCTTGGGATGCTTACCAGAGTCAACAACCCAAGTTTTATAGAAGCAGCTTCCCACAGTGGAGGATCGTTACCTTCCAAGCGCTCAAACCAATGCCCATGAAGCTTATTAGTTTAATAGTAAATGTAAATAGAAATTATGAAAATAAATAGACAAGGGAGACGGAGAAATCAATGTTAATTTTTATCTTTTTTTTTTTTACGGGGATTAACCCACCTGGGTACAGGTTACTGGCCCATATTAGAGCCAGGGGAGCGAAATAATAATAATAATAATAATAGAAGAAGAAGAAGAAGAAGAAGAAGAAGAAGAAGAAGAAGAAGAAGTTATCAAGAGTGAGAAACGATATACTGTACAGTATGTATGTTGTGTTGTCAAAGTAAAAGACCCTGCAATTGTGTGTAAATGAGGCAGAATGTCAGATCAGCAACCTAGGACTTAGTCACAATTTTTATGATGCCATATGGCAGAAGGGTCTACCATTAGACACCACATTATGCTTCCAATATCTTCCCAGGTGGTAGTACCTCCCTGTTTGATAGCTGCCTACTAAATGGAGACAGTGTTTGAAGAGAGGTGGTACAGTTGTGTTAAGTATGTGGAACATTGATTGTCAATTAACTCAAATAGTAGTGGATGAAAATTTAATCAGCACATTAAGAAATTTGTAGAGGAAGAAAAAAATCACAAGAGGCAAAAATAGCACTTCATGTAAAAAAAGGAAGAAACAGTTAGAATTAATAGAAATGTCGTGCTTGAAATCAATGTGTGGACTGACTAGTATACACAGAATAAGAATGTGAATGTAACAAGAATTATGGGTAAAGACCGTTTCAGAGAGTGTGAATATTTTGAAAGAATGGGAAGCGAAGGAATGGTAAAGATGGTGTGTATGTAATTCAAAGGTGGAAAGCAGTGGAGAAAGGAGAAAAACAAAAAAAGTTGGAATGACAGAATGAAGGACACATTAAAAGTATGAAGGACAAACATACAGAAAGCAGATGGGCCTGTTTAGTTGTGTAAGGTGACACCTGTCAACCAGAGATAACGTGAATCCTTATTGTGAGAGTGGAACATGAAGGTGGTGTACTCATTAAAGCAACAAGCTTGATTGACTGACGGAAAGTAAGTGAAGAGAGAGAGAGAGAGATAACGTGAATAAAACTTCAGTCTATATTTAAGCTTACTTCATTATTTATGTATACAATGCATTATAGCATAGTTTGAGAAAAAGAATACAGGTGTGCTAAGGTTAACAGGACGTGAGCGTATGGATTTGAGGTGTGTCTCCTCTGGTACTTGGCAAAGAAAACGACTAGTACCCCACACAGCCTCGTGTTCTGCCAAGTTCTCATTTAGTGTTGTTTGTATTTTGTCAAATTTCTTAAGACAATGCAAGTATGATTCTTAATTAAATCACTTTTTTATTCAAATATGTTTGTTATATATTCCAAGAAACAAAATTAATATCCAAAATCACCTAAAACACCTATCTTATTATCTATAATTTAAAGTAAATTATTTACCTGCCCACTGAAGACTTCTCCTGACCCTCTCAATCCCATGTTTGGCGAAGCTCACATGACACCATGTGTGTTAGCTGAGCTAGGAGATGAAGATTTCTAATTTATGGGGATCTTGGGTCGTTTTTGTAAGCGGTAGAATCTTGAAACCACTAGAAGAAGGTATGGTCTTCCTTTGCTCAACACATCACCAGTTTTTAGAAATAAAACCTGTTTAGAACAGAGTATACAAAATCTCTTGGAAATAAAAGCCAACTCAAAAATAAAAATAAATAACAGCCACGTTCCTGACACACACTGAAAATACAAAATAAGGGATAAATTTGCGATAAAGGACATTACCTTAGGTTGGTACTGAATGATTCAAATTTACTACATATTCTGGATATGTTAACACTAACCGTTTCCACCGTTGAGTCTGAAGGAAACGGAAATTGTGTATTTCATAATATGTGGATACAAAATCAGAGAATGGCTCTTATTAAGCTATATTAAAATCCTTCACAAAACCAAGAGATCAGGTGATGCGAATGTCAACAACCAGATGAGTAATAAATAATGTCGGCTAAGAAAGAAGATATAAGTAAATGTATATTCAACAAATGTTATCACGAATACAGAAGAGTAATGATAATAATAATTATAATACTAAAAAAATTAATGTTATATAATTAAATTAAAAAACTGAAGGCCATGTTCTCGCCAGACAAACTAACATATATACAAGCACAGTCATGTATTCCAAGAATTTGGGGGCAAAAAATAACTCACTAATGGTAGGCAAGAAGTATGGTTTCTCGGCATTATTTCCGCATCCTGCACTAGACTTATTATCCAACTTAGAGTGATTTATGTTGTATTATTACTATACTGTACAGTTAGTCTCTATCCTAGGTTCATGTTTAAGGAGTCTCATTATAGTATGCGCCAAGCAAAACATGCACACAGCATCATGGATAAACAGTGAGTACTGTATTTCTAGTGAAATCTACAGATTACTAGAATGTGTATTCTATATTTCATGCATCAGGACAACCAATATTGAAAAATTATGCTGGGGAATAATTTTTCGTCACGAGATATATGCAGATGTTAGTATTTTAACTTTTTGTTGTGTTTTTTCTATTTCAGAATGTTCTTTGATGGCACAGTGAGGAGGTCTACTTACCAGCCGTCTCCAGTCTCTCCTGGAGAATATATGAGAAAAGGAAGAAATCCCCCAAGCTCTTATAGACGCCAACATCGCAAATATTTATAAGAACAAGGGAGACCGGTCAGACTGAGGCAACTACCGCGGGATCTCTCTGCTGTCCATAGCTGGCAAGATTACCGCCCGAGTCCTCCTAAACAGACTTCTTCCTGAGGCGGAAAACTTCCTCCCAGAATCTCAAAGAGGCTTTAGACCATCACGTGGCACCACTGACATGATCTTTGCTGCTCGCCAGATACAGGAAAAGTGCAGAGAACAGCGTCGTGACCTGTACATGGTTTTCATCGACCTAATTAACGCCTTTGATTCGGTCAACAGGGAAACCCTCTGGTTGACCCTCAGCCATTTTGACTGCCCACCAAAATTCATCACCATTGTGAGGCAACTCCACGATGGCATGAACGGCAGTGTCCTGCACAATGGCACCCAGTCTGAGTTTTTCCCCATCAAAAAGGGGGTTAAACAAGGACGTGTACTGGCACCAACTCTCTTTTCCATTATCTTGGCTGCCTTCCTCACGTGTGCCAGTGCCAATTTAGCCGGCGGGGTGGACATCGAGTGCTGGAAGAAGGGTCTTTTCAACATAAGACGACTCCAGGCAGGAACAAAGGTGTTGGTAGTTACTATTACTGAACTTCAGTATGCAGACGACCTTACCCTTGTCGCTCACACTGAACGTGACCTATGCAGAAGCGTATGCACACTCCGACCTTGAGGTGAATGTACATAAAACTCAGATTCTCTTTCAGCCTGCCCCTGGTTCGGCCACACCTCCACCATCCATCCAGCTTAACAGTACTACACTCTCTATTTTTTTTTTTGAAGGACACCCCCTGGCTTTCTAATGTAAGGTGAAGAGCAGAAGCGTTTACAGCGCCCAACAGGGAAGCATGCTAAGTTCATGCTTGCCTTTATGTCTCATGAGTTAAGGGCGTAGAAACCTGAAGAGTCACGGGCGTAGTAGCCTGAAGAGTCAATGGTTTATGTCATAAGTTATTGGAAGCTCCAACAACTTTCCCTGAATACGAATTCGCAACTTTCGATTTACAACAGGTACCTACATTACTGCTAGATGAACAGGGACCAATGAGGGCTAGGAAGTACGTCCAAACAACTTTTCCACCGGCCCGTGAATGGAACCCGTGACATGTAGCTTGCGAGACAAGAGCGGTACCGTTCTACCACCTGCGCCCCGAACCTCTATAATGTTACCCACTTCCGGTATCTCGGCTCCCACCTGTCCACCACCGCGGAAATCGATGGAGAGATTCAACATCGGATCAGATGTGCATCTCAAGCCTTTGGCAGACTCCAGAACCATGTCTTCAGCTGTAGGGAGCTGAAATTATCTACAAAGTTACACGTATATCGAGCAGTGGTCCGCCCCACCCTGCTATATGACAGCGAGACATGGTACACATACAGGAGGCACCTCAAGGCACTTGAAAACTTTCACCAACGTAGTCTATGTTCCATCCTCCAAGTTCGCTGGGAAGACAAGAAAACAAATGCCAGTATTCTTGCGGACACCAACTGTAGGATAATCGAGGCTACCATTATCCATGAATAACTTAGCTGGAATGGCCAAAGCAGCTACTTTACAGTCACCAAACAAATAGAAAACGTAACGCTGGCGGTCAACTGAAAAAATATAAGGATAGTCCTAAGACAAACCTGAAAAAGTGCCAAATCGACCCCCTCACCTGGGAGACGATTACTCCACAACTTAATGCTTGGAGGAGCACCACACAAGAAGGTGTCACTACTTTCGAGTTAGCGCGAATCCATACCGAGCGCCAACGCTGGAAAGACGCTGCCGCCATCCCTCCCGCACTAGATGTAGCCCTCCACATGTGCAACATCTGTGAACGACCCTGTCGGTCCCGTATCGCCTCTTAAGTCACCTAAGAGCTCACCAACGTAGGTGACATCCTCAATAACCCATATCATTGTGGAATTGTGGAACGCATTGGTAATAATTTGCCTTATATATATATATATATATATATATATATATATATATATATATATATATATATATATATATATATATATATATATATATAACATATATTTATATATATTTGAGTGTGTGTGTGTGTGTGTGCGTTTCAAAAGTGATAAAACATACATTTTTTAATGTTTATTTAAAGGGAAAGTACGAAGCTTCTTTATACTTTATTGAATTGTAAGTATACTGTAATACACCGGAAGTGCATCATAATGTTGTCTAAACTTATATGAATTTTAAAATCATCGAAAATTTGATGTTTTATATCCCAGTTGGCAGTACATAATGGTTGTATAATCATATACGTTTCAATAACAAAACAATGTTAAAGGAATATCTGACAAAGTTTGATGGTACATTGTGAGTTTGTACTTTTGTAATTTAATAATGGACTACCCTTTAATTATGAATCATACTGAATAAAAAATTGCGTGCTCCTTTTGTATTAACCCTCTAGTTAGCCGAATAAAATCATCTGGCGTTAACCAGAATAAAATACCTAAGGGATAATTTATCCTCTAACGGGTTAAAGATCATAAACATTGTTAACTGTATTATGCGCGCCCTTCTACTTCCTCCAGCTCCTGCTGGGCCTTACGGAACTTGGCCAAGTTCAAGGCGGCGATCTCTTCGGCCTCCTCGATCTGGCGCTTATAGGTCTTAATCTTCTGTTGCAGCTTGTCAACAAGATCCTGCATCCTCTCATGGTTCTTCTTGTCTTCATCAGCCTGGAAGGTAAGTTCCTTGATGCGTCTTTCGCATTTCCTAAGGTTCTTTTGAGCATCTGAGTGGCGGCGAGTTTCATCGTCCAGATGGCTCTCAAGTTCACGAACGCGACTTTCTAGTTTTCCAAGTGCTTTTTTGCCAGTTTTCAAAGTGTTGCTTTCGACTTCCTCAAGGCGAACTTGGAGTTCCTTAACAGACACTTCCAGACCCTTGCGCATCTTCTCCTGGGTCTGGGCGTGTTCCTGCTCAGCGCGAAGTTCATCAGCCAGGCGGGCGGCGTCAACCATTGCCTTCTTAGCCTTGTCCTCAGAGTTCTTGGCTTCGTTCAGCATCTCCTCCAAGTCAGCCTATGGAAAATGGAAAAGAAATGGTGCATAGTTATTAATTGAGCGTTTTCTCACTGACTAAACACAATGAACCTAACTAAAAATGTACAATTAATAGTCACTGCCAACACCGTTTAAAGTAAGAAACTTACATGAAGAGTTTGCATCTCGCCTTCAAGCTTCCTCTTGGCTACGGTAAGAGAACCATTTTGGGCTGTGAGGTCGTTGATCTGTTCATTTGCTTCAGCGAGCTCGGCTTCAGCTTGGCGGCGACCGCGATCAGACTGTTCAAGAAGAGTTCGCGACTCCTCCAGCTCTCCGTTGAGGGCATTCGCACGACGTTCAGAAATTCCATATTGTTCACGGTATTCTGAAGCAAGACGTTGTTCTTCTTCAGTGCGGGCTTGCATTTCCTTCATTTCCCCTTGCATTTTCTTGATATGCTTTTGGAGATCAGCATTGGCCTTATTAGTATGATCAAGAGCAATTTCGAGTTCATTGATGTCAGACTCAAGTTTTTTCTTCATACGAAGAGCCTCTGCCTTGCTCTTTGCCTCTGCCTCGAGTGAAGCTTGCATCGAGTCAATTGCACGCTGGTGGCATTTGCTGTAAATAAAAATAATATTTGATTCTAAGAGTAGAAACAGGATATACACCTGTATATATATATATATATATATATATATATATATATATATATATATATATATAAAGATTAGTTAGGAACCTAATAAGAAAAGACCACCCCAAAAGTATCAGCTTGATAGATGAGCCAATTTCACATATGTGTAATTGCTTACATAGTGACAGCATTATAAGCAACAAATTATTCCAACTCCCCACAATATAGTGCTATACAGTAAGTTTTAATTAGATGATTATCCTTAAAACAAATGTCATATTATAACGCTCAACGTTATAGCTACTATGTGTAGCCATTTAAACAACTTACCGAGTATTATCAAATTCTTCTTCCTTCTCCTGGATGCGTCTATCGATTTCCTGTCTAACTTGGCTGAGCTCCAGCTGGGCACGGAGCACCTTATTCTCTTCTTGTTCCAGAGCGGCCTCAGCCTCCTCCAGTGCAGCCTGCAGTTCTTCCTTCTCAATTTCAAGACGCTTAGCGGTCTTCTGGAACTCGTGGAGGGATCGTCCGCCTTCTCCAATCTGATCCATCAAGTCTTTTATCTCATCTGCTAGGTTCTTGTTCTCACGTCGTACGGTGTCAAGCTGGTCAAGATTCTCTTCATAGGCAGCCTTCACTCGGAAAAGCTCTGTTGAGTAGTTACGACATTCCTTTTGTGAAGCATCAAGTTCTGCAGCTAGGTCATCAACCTTCATCTTCCATTCTGATATAATCCTATCAAAGTTCTTCTGTTTCTTTTCTGCAGCATTTGCCAAAGTCTGTGCACGTTCGACCTGAATTTGCATGTCCTCTAGCTCGGTGGAGATGCGTTGCTTGGTCTTTTCTAAATGCATATTCTTAACATTCAGCTGTTCTATTTGCTGTTCAGCTTCTTCAAGGCGTGCAGAAAGTTTCAAGCGAGCAGCTTCAAGCTCCTCCGCACGAGCAACTCCCTCAGATTCGTATTTTGCACGCCACATTTGAGCTTCAGCATTAGCTTTGGAAAGCTGGCGCTGCACATCGGCCTTACCTTCACTCTCTTCATCAAGTTGCTCTCGAAGACCATCGATATCATGTTCCAAGTTTCGGAACTTTCCAAGAAGTGTAGCTCGCTCCTGTTGGTATTGTTATTGTTAGATATAAATGTACAACGTAAAGGTATATTTAATCCTATTAAGATCACATGAATTTTAGACTGCTAGTATATTAGCAAATAATAATTTTCACAACCAAAAACCTTCTAAACAAAGCTCATGACTCACCCTGCATTCATCATCTGCAAGTTTCCTGGTATCGTCCAGCTGATTTGTCAGAGAAAGCTTCAATTTTGAAAGTTGGCTAATATGGCTCTCTGCTTCTTCAACTTGGCGTAAAAGATCTGAATTCTCAACAGCCAGCTTCTTTTTGGCAGCATCAAAATCGTTAAGAGTGCGGTTGGCTTCATCCAATTTAGCCTGGAGTTCAGTCATCTGGTGCTGAATTTGCTTATTGGTTTTCTCAGCTACAGCCTGAAGTTCAAGAAAAAACGTTACGTTTGTCTGTCAAGAGTTGTTTGGCTATTAAGAGAGACTTCGGATCTGGGAGCAATATTACTATTTGGCCTTAAATTTCGTTTTATTTCGTCCCTATTAATCTTACTCTAAATATTTTCGGGGTTGTCTTAAAAAGGTTATAAAAAGGTATAAATATGGTTCACCTCAGTCTCCTTAATAACCTACTAAATTTAGTTTTGGATAAACAGGCACACACACACACACACACGCACACACACACACATACACACACACGCACACACACACACACACACACACACACACACACACACACACATATATATATATATATATATATATATATATATATATATATATATATATATATATATATATATATATATATATATTTATTTATTTATATATATATATATATATATATACATAATCCGCACACGGATTAGTGAATGTCATGTTAATGACCTGACCTCATGTTTAGTAAGGTCACCCTATGTACTTAAGCCTCTCTCGGTCCTTGTAATTCATTTGCCTCTGAAGATGTCTTGAATAAAGACGAAAGCTTAGGTGCTCCATTGTTTCCTTTTTTCCTGTGTGATTTTATCAATATATATATATATATATATATATATATATATATATATATATATATATATATATATATATATATATATATATATATATATATATATATATATATATATATATATATATATATATATATATATATATATATATATATATATATATATATATATATATATATATACAAAATTCACTAAGCATATAAAGTGAATATCAGGACTATACCATTAATTATTAGTAATTCAGGTGTTAATAAGACTCTTATTGCTACCCGTGTCTTTCAAGAATATCTGACAAGTAAGGTGATACACAATCATTCTAAGTGTATTACTGTGAATTAAAGTGTTTTGCACTTTTTCCCAACTACGTATTAGTATCTATTACTTTGATGAATATTAGTGTCCGTGTTCTGTTATAATGGAGTGAAGAGCAACACACCTTATCGCGAGTGAGACCGTCCATGGCCGACTTCGCATCATCTGCATCACGTTTAAGAGAATCCTTATCTTTTTCCATCCTGTAGAAAAATTTAATGTTAATTCAGTAAGTGTATAACTTTTATCTACGTTTTGACAAAGAAAACTATGTCAAATTAGAATGTAACATCAATTTTTAGTCCAGACATATAACAAGAAAATAGATTTATCTGAAAAATACATATAATTAATAAGTAAAAAATTTGGGATTTTATGATCCAATAAGACTGCTTACCTGGCCTTCATTTTGTTAAGGTGGTCAATCTGTTCAGACATTTCAGCGACGGCATCGTTGTGTTTCTTACGAAGGCTGGCCAATGCAGTTTCGTGCTGGATGTTAGACTCTTCGAGGTCGCGACGAAGTTTAACCAGCTCAGCCTCACGTTTCTTATTGAGTTCAATTTGTGCAGCAGTGGCACCACCCGCTTCATCTAAACGTTCCCCGAGCTCCTCGAGCTCACGACCAAGGTGAGTCTTGTTTTTCTCTGCTTTAGCACGAGCCTGGCGTTCGTGTTCAACCTCCTCTTCAAGTTCTTCAATTCTTGATTGCAATTCTTTCACCTGTCTCTGAACCTTCATAACACAGCCTTGTTCATCTTCTAATTTACTGGCAAGTGATGAAATTTCCTTATCTTTACGCTGTATTGTCTGTTCCAGCTCTTTGTGATTACGTTCCAAGTCTGCAACAGATTCTTGAGTTAGTTTAAGATCACCTTCGACCTTCCGTTTAGCCTTTTCAATTTCAGAACGAAGTTTCTTCTCGCGCTCAAGTGAGTCCTCGAGCTCGTCAAGTGTCTGCTCGAGCTTGGTCTTTACCTTGCTCAGGTGGTTACATTTATCTTCAATACCTTGAAGGTCTTCGGCGGTCTTTTGATTACATTCCTGAAGATGTTTTTTCTCCTTGTTAATTTTATTGATAAGTTCATCTTGGTGAGCAATCTCATCGTTTAAGTTACGTATTTGGTGATCCTTCGTAGCTTTATCCTGCTCACCTTTCTGTATGGTGAGCTCGAGGTCTTCAAGATCCTTTTTCAAGCCAGTAACTTCTTGCTCTACTTTTCTCTTACCCTGGAATAGTTGGTTTCTGGCTTCCTCTTCTTGGTGCAGACGTTCAGAAGTTTCCTGAAGGAGGGTTAATTTTGATAAATCACGGCATAAAATTGCAATAAAAAAACCTGCTGATTTTTATGTAGTTCGACTGACTTTCCTGCTCTTCCCCGGCTTTCCATTCCTCTGCTATTTGTACCTCCATAAATGTGAGGCTCTCACCTATCTGTTTTAAATAAAATTTAATTATTTATTTTCATGTTTCCAAACCCAGCGTGTACTAGTCACACTCAGCTCGAGTAAAGGTTAATCTGTCGGTGTTATCGCTCCTTCCTTTATCCATTACGGTAAAATTAGTAATGATAATAAACTTGAATTAAATATCTTCCCTATGCAATGGATTAATTTATCATCGATACCATTAAAAATAAAACTACACAAGATATCCATCATCAAAATAAGTAATGTCTTAAACATACAAGACAAGGATCCTCAACAAAAACATTTACGCATTATACTTGAGATCCCTGATTAATGTTACGTATGACATACCATTTTTACGCGAAACATTGATTTTGTTTCTTATAGTTTGCGTATGTCTTTTTTTGTACGTATTTTGTTTGTATTTATTTACGTGGTTACATTTGTGTGAAAAGATTATGGCGTGTGTAAATCTTATGTTAGTTTGTGTATATTATTATGTGCGTAAATGTGTTTTAGTGGAACTATTCGCCGTAAGTGGCGGTAGATTTAGTCTATAACTGATATTCCCTCCCAAATACTTACATTGAGTTGACCTTCAAGATCTGCTTTTTGGCTCTGCAGCTTGGATTGTTTGTCCAGAAATTCGGACACGTTACCCTTGGTCGATTCAAGAGCAACCAAGAGATTATTCTTTTCTTCGAGAAGAGCGACGTTGGCAGCCTCAAGCTCTTTACGGAGTTTGGACTCACGCTCAAAGTCTTCCTGGGCCTTGGCAGCCTTCTCCTCCAGGGCACGAATTTCATCCTCAACGCGGGAGACATTAAGAAGAGGCTTAACCTTTTGCCACATACGATACCAAGCCCAGTTACGGAGTTGCATGAATTTTCTAATGTTACGCTGAACAACGATGAGAGCGACGCGCTGCTCCTGAAGCTTTTTGAAGTTTCTGCGGCTGTTGAAGCCACGGATCCATGCCTGAAGCCAGGAAATAACCTTGGCCAACCTGTCATCACGGATCTCCTCCAACTGACCCAGGACTCCTGCACGGAAGAACACCTGTAGCCCAGAAATTAGAAACAAAAGATTATGAATTGGATTTAGTAATCTTCAGACCCTGACTCACTTCTCTGACATTTAATTATAATGCCGTATATATATATATATATATATATATATATATATATATATATATATATATATATATATATATATATATATATATATATATATATATATATACACGGCATGTGTAGGTGGGTCTGAAGATTTATGGATGTAGTCACATAAACTTATGAAGTTGAAAAATTATGTCAAAAGTTATTTCCTTTATTGCTGCATGTGTATAGATAATACAGTCAGTTGATGTTAAGTGGTACAACCATGGGTAAAGTTTGTTGACACTAAGGAGAAGCACTATAAAATAAGTCTGACGTTTATACAGTATTGGTAAATTTGCTCTCTCTTAATTTAAATTCAAACATACATACCTTCTGATCAACTGTAAGTAACATATGGATAAATTGCTTACGAATAACATGCTACAGGAACAGATGCAACATCAAACACAACATCACAAAAGAGAAAGAAGGTAGGAATCGTTGAAATAATTTGATAACGAAGGGACAAAGGCAACTTAGTGTTACAAATAAATGTTGCAGGCCGTGAAAAATAGGCTTGGGGTCTTGTATTAGACGCAGGGGTGGGCAATTATTTTTGATGGAGGGGTCACTTCATGAATGGTGGCACACTTCGCGGGCCACACACTTAATGTAGATGCAAATGTATTATATTAACACAAAGTAAAGCCTTGTATTTGTAAATACAAATGCAGTGGCGAGCCACAGAAATAATTTGGCGGGCCAAATGTGGCCCGCGGGCCATACTTTGCCCACCCCTGTGAGGATCAGTCAAATATACCTGGAAATAGATTATGTACTGTATTGTTACTGTAGAGGATAAACACCGCAAAACGAACAGAAAAAGAACCAAACGAAAAGACTGTAATGAAATGACTGATGAGAGGATTCAGAGGTAAAGGAAAATCCAATTGCGACGATTGGTAAAAGGGTCAAATTAGAAAGGTCAATTGTAAAGAAATAAAAACTTTGTGGGGATTTTGTTTTCATTCAATGGTAGTAGCAGTGAGTTGTGGCATTTCAATTTGGTAACCATTAATAATCGGAGAAATAATAATAATTGATAATGGGTTATCGTCGAGAAGCAAAAAATCCAGGAGAGTTGAGGGATAACGAAAAGTGACTCTAAAGACCTGTTCGTTCTACTATACAGTACAGCTGCCCATCCTTATTAGCGGCCAGAACGTTGTCGCACTGACATCTCATTGAAGACCAGATCTTGTAGCTACAGGAGGGGGAATTTTGATGAAAGAATAATGAATAGCTGCCACACAGAAGCCATGGCCAAAGTATAGCATTAAGACATCTAAATATCTTCACTAAAACAGAAGAAAATTAATACTATGGTACTGACAATCGGTGAAAGCGTAAATTATACAAAAATATAAGCAAGACTATGACAGCAAGGTGCTAAACAATGAGGCGACAGTAAAAAATTAAAACTTTGAAGTTTAAACCTAGAGAACAACTAATTGCATTAGAATTCGTCTCAGAAATGAATGATCTTTCAATTTACTCACACCCATTTGGAATCACCTCTCTTTCTTTCTTTCATTCGTGTTTCTAATTAATTACTATGTTGACGGGAAACATCGAGCTAAAAATGCTTAAAGCTACTAATAAGCCAATGCGTTTCTGAAGAATAGTGCCATTAGCTTAGAATGCAACGCACACCGTCACATGCCTTTGTGTGGCCCAGGCGATACTTGTCTTTTTCCATCTCGGCAACTTCCAGACAGATCCCACAGGCTTCCTTTCCGTTGCTAGCCTCACCCATAAGTTTAGAAGCCAGAATCATGTAACTGTAGAGAGCATGCAAGAATCAGTAGACTAAAGAAAATATCACTGTAATGGTCAATTGGGGCGTGATAATTATCTGTAATGGATAACCTTAGGAACTAATACATTGTTCTGTAAATGTTGGGAGGGAAATCTAATAAGGGGAAAATGTGCGGTAATACTGCAGTTGGGGGAGGGAGGGGATTTACAGGTTACAACGAGTCTTACAGGGAACCAGAGTTTTCAGAGGTAGTACCATGCTTGTTTTTGTCTACTTGTTTTACATTTACTTACGTAACTTCGGTCACATCATATCTTAACTTATAACTAACTACGTGTTCATTAATATCTAAAATTCCGTTACACTCTGGTGAACGGAATCTACTAAACTTCTCAGTACAATAATAAACTATTGGTCTACTTTTATTCAGAAGATACTACGTGCAACTCTGTTGGGTAAGACGTGCCTTGGTATGACCAACACGGTATGATTCCTTGTTCAGCTCAACTGACTCTAAACAAATTCTGGCTGCTTCCTTTTCACCTGAGGCCTCAGCCATAGCTCTAGAGGCTAAAATGCAGTATCTTTTTGGGGAAATAATACAAAATTTTTGTTAACATTCACATTTTGGTGGGGGAAGTAGAAATCCATAATATACTTTGTAGAGGCTGAAAAATAATTGTTTTCGTTAAGTTGGAGAATTACTCTCATCAATAAGAAACATATTTGAATAAAAATTATACAGATGTTACAGCACATTCATTATAAGTGAAGGCAAACCTCTAAACTTGGGCTTCAGTAATAAGATAAGAGATTATTTTTTTTACGGTTTTGAATATACTATTCTCATCTGGATAAAATGTAATCGTTTTTTTTTCAAGATATAATTGCAATGACTCTTTTGGATTATATACTCATATCTTAAGTTGCATTTCATATTATTAATGCAATCTGAATTCTGAATAAGGATACAGCAAGAATAATTGTCTCCTCACCGGTGCTTGAAGTCAGGGTACAGCATCCTGTTGGGGAAGCCCTTACGACAGATACGGATACCCTCAAGTACACCGTTACAAGTCAGCTGGTGCATGATCAAGGCAGCGTCAGTTACACCTGACAGGGAAAGATAATGTACCTTTACTCAGAACGTTATTATAGGTTTAAGAATCCTGGATGTCTAGCAACTACTTTACTTGCTAGGAAAGTACTAATGTGATTAAAATTCAGAATGTAAATTACTCTATATGACTTCAGTGCCTTTAACATTATACTCAGAGAGGAAAGTAAATACGAATTACCAAGAATTTTATGCTATGGATGTTCTCCGGTTTGCTTTTAAAATATATACTTTAAGCAGGTTTACTTACCAGGGGACTTGGTCTCGTTGGGGACGATGCAACGAATGAAGTGAGGCGAGGTGGCGTTCAGGGTCCTCATCAAGTTGCCCAACTGCTCCTGTCAGTGTAAGAACGTTGTGCGTGAGCTGGCATTCTATGAAGACATGAGCGTCCCCTTTAGGAACTTTAATTCTAACCGCCTAACATAATTCCTCTGCTTGTATCTAACACACACCTTAGCCCCGATTTTACCCATCTAACCAGCAATAACCAAGAAATGTTACAAGAGCCAATTCTAAAAGAAATCTGAGCAACAGATGAGCATTAACCTATAAATTTCTGAATGCCAAGTTGTCCCCGAGTTATAATGAAAGCAACCCTTGTTACATTAGAAGTGGCTAATGACATTGCTGCTAAAAATTTATTCGAAATTCTCACTGGCACCAAGAAAAACACAAAAAGGTGTTAAGAGATAACTTGACCCATCATAAAGCATATAATTAGCTTAAATTGGGTAAAATTCCCGAGTTAAATGAACATTCGAAAATAAGTATCCGCTTCTGCTGCTGACCAAATAATAACTACAGATACTGTACTTACCCTGTATGCAGAAGATACAGTAGAGAAACCACCAGACTTCTTACCACGGCCGCCTGAAAGGAACAAATAAGAACACAGTGAAATTGTAACACTGCAGGAACAAAAGAAACGAAGGCTGATATATTTTTGTGAATAAGAAGATAAAGATTCATCAAATGTGATGAACTATCAGGTAATTTTTACGCTGCTCTTCAAATATTGACAGTAATTAATATTCGTTTCACTAGATTATCGAAATAAAATTGTTGATGCAATATATGACACCTCACATTATCTTGTAAATAGCAATTTAATCATGAGTGAGCTATATATGACAAAACATGATGTTTTACGTGCGAAATTCACAATTCATTATGAATCATTCTTTCTTGAACATAAATGTAAATGGTAAATAAGTTATACTGTGTTTTACACAGATTACTAATATCACATGTAAATATTTAGGAATTTAGATTTGTAATGAATGATTACAAACACTTCTACATAACGCCTATGCAAGTAAGTATTACGATTACACGAACTTATCTAGTGACTCTAACAGATGACGTAATCGAGACGAAAGAAATATATGTTATTCTTTTAATTTAGATTTTATTTTCCAAGAAAAAAAAATCAGAATGGAAGAGTAAGAATCATTCTAGGTTCTCCTGATATGTCTGATTGGCAGGAGCCTCTGCTGGGGGACAGCATCAGCACGGACTCTGTGGAGGGAACAGGCACATATCAGTAGTGTAGCACAGGTTATCCATACACGGTGCCAAGAAAAATATTGCAAGTTGCACGTTACAGAGCTTAGTAAATATCAACATTGACTAGAAAAGCAATTTGTCAGACAACTGTACATCCGTGCACATACTTACCACCTTTGCCACCGTCAGGGCTACCAGACTGACCAGGGTGATCTGAGAAGACCTCGACAGCGAGAGCATTGGAAGACTTCTTGAGCTGGTCAACAACAGTGTCGTTGAGGGGATCCTTGTTCTTCTCGAGCCAGCCAGCCAGATTGTACGGTACAGTGCCGGCGTAGTGAACAATGGCGAAGTGAGCCTCAGCCTGGCCGGGCTTTGGAGGTTTAGGCTTGATGAAGTTGGGTGATTTGCCAAGGTGGTTGGCCTTCAACTTCTCCTCAAAGGACTTGTCGGTAGCCTTGGGGAACATGGACTCTTCTTCGAGGATTGAAAGAAGACCCAGTGGCTGTTTATCGGCAAAATATATCGGTCAGTTTAGAGGATAAAGACAAACACATTGTGGCATAAAGCTATTTTTCGTAGCAAATCACTAACATGTATTTAAACTATATTACTAAAACTGATCAAGTGAGGAACTTATTTTTATTTTTCAACCACTAAAGCAATTTTTTTTATTCATTCAGCGAATTCTGTTTAACAAACTTATTTGAAAAAGGGTCCTAATGAATAAACTTTTGAAAACAACAACTTAATAAATTTACTTGATTTTTCGTTTTATCTTGAGTAAAGTGAAATACATCAGTTACAAAGGGAGGTTCTGCACTGACCCTGACATCAGACGAAAGGAATCTACCAAACTTGACTTAATTGAACCTAATTAAAAAAATATATATTTCCAAATCATTCAGGTGGAAACAATGTTGTACTGTCTGCTCTCCTTATATGGTAACCGTAAACAGACTTGGTGTCCATCACCGCCCAGCCCATATTTAAATGTTCAAGTTCATCTAAGCTAATGAAAAACATTACTTTATACATCAGTAGTTATTTTTATCAAATAATTTAGTGAAACAGGATGCGTTACACTCAGCAGATACCAATAATTTTAATCTTACTAATTGATATTCAATATATTTAGCAAAATTACTTACCGAAAATGTTGAGGAAACATGCAGTGACGATGTCATTTATTTCCTAACATTATTTTAGAACATCAGGAAACGTGCAAATAGGTGTAAGTTATGAGAAGTCTAAAAGGTGCATGATTAGGTACAGAGGTTACTTGTCGCAGAAGTAAGACAAGAACAGTGTGCCAGATCTTGCTTCAATACCTTAAGTATGGCATATTTATTTCTTGAAGTTTTAAGGATAGCAAAGAGCTCCGAGGTTAGATATATATTATGCATAGGATCTTGACACGAGGCTGTAGATATCTCGGTGACATAGAGCAATAGCATACTGTGTTTTACCTTTTTAAATGGTTCAGTGAAGAACTGGGATTCAGGTCACAATCAAAGATAGTGCCTCGCTTATGTTCTTCCTCCAGGACTAATATGTAGGTGAAGAACTTCTCGCAATTTCTCTTTGGTGAAATAGGTGCAAGCTTGTCATTGCCAGTGTTACTGCCGGGGAACGATTAAGACAGATGAGCACTGAGTTAAAACACACATTTAACAACACAGATTAGATCTGCTCGTAGGGGTGGGGTGGGTAGCTGTTGGAGGCATACCGAGTTATTATGCTCTTTTGGTGAGTTTTATTAAAATGCATTTTGGTGACTTAAACAGTATTGTCATATAAGGAATGTTTATATAGGAGTACTTGAAATTTGTGGGTCAGGTATTACGTCAGTGAGGACATTCTTGGAAAAACGTGAAAACTTAAAAAAAAATGATCTCAGGAAATATGGAGATGGTGGAGGGAGAGACAAGGTGTAGAGAGCAACACACACCGCTGCTTCTTGTTGGCGAGTCACGCGCATCTGTCCACGAACAGTTAGGATCTACTAAGTAAGGGGTAAGAGTGTCTCTTTATGGACACTGAAAAACACATTTTGTTCCTACACAGAAGCCTGAAGGACAGATAATTTTTATGTAGTTACGAGAATAGCGGAAGTTTCTTGATAATAACTCTGAAGGTCAAATTTTACCGGACCACTGAGCCTGAGGGAAACATTTTCCAGATAAACTTCAGACCTTCAGACCTATTCTTCAAAATTTGTAAGCCATTTTAATTAGAAAATCCTTTTGGGGGGGGTAAGTGGGTAGGGGGATTTGTTATCATGAAAATCTTCTCTGCCTGATTTCATTTTCAAGAAAACTTATGTCCTACTTTTTTATTTGTTCAGTTATGAATAAATTGTCCTCCCAGACGATGTTAGTATAAAATACCTGGATTAAACATGCAATCTCCGTCGGGGAGATGGGAAGAGAACACTCACTTTGAAAGGAAGGATTGAAGCTATTTATTTGTAATATTTGTAAATATTTCTTGATAAACATCATAATTCTTTTTAGCAGTCATGCATAAAGGATGGGAATGGGGGAAAACACTACAGAATATACAAAGTTCATTTAAGTGAAATGTGCATCGTGTTTTAAGAGTTGGTAAGGTGGAAGAGGATTAGTTCCATGTTTAATATCATCTCGTATGAAATAACTGATGTCACATAACTATTACGGTCCTCTGATCAGCAAGTATTGTAGAAATTCCTTTTTCACATTACCAAATATATGTAGAAAAGCTTAAATCTGTTCAGCTGTTATTGATATATACTATGAGGCAGGGAAGAAGATAAATTCTCAGTTGTGTCTTGGCCAAATCGAAAACCAATAGGGGAAATAACTAGGGGTGGTGGGATACATGTGTGCATACAGGAAATTTAAAACACAAGGGAGACCCTCGGACCTGTAAGAGAAGGGCAGGTTTGGTGAACCAGGATTCTGACGCAGAACTTTGAGGTCATTGCCTGGGACAGTAAATCAAATCTTTTTACAAACTACAATATCAGAAAAAGATAATATAGTTGCAGCAACTGCAGTGATGGGGAGATCAACCCTGATAGTTACTGCAATATTGAAAGACAACAGGGATACATATAAAACATAAATTGCATTCCTGAAGAAGAGTTTTCAACTGTTGCAAAACTTCAGCATTGGAGGGTCGCATACAATCGTCAGTCATGATGAAAGACTCTCCGCTTACAATGATTTACCTTCTCGAATAGCTCGATGCAGGCCTGCAGATCCATACCGAAGTCCACAAAAGTCCAATCGATGCCTTCCCTCTTGTATTCCTCCTGCTCCAGCACAAACATGTGATGGTTGAAGAACTGCTGCAGCTTCTCGTTACAGAAGTTGATGCAGATCTGCTCAAAGCCGTTGAACTGTTGAAGTTGAAATTTAAATATTATGAGTAAGTGATTACAGCAGGATGCATATTAGAACACAAAATATGATGACATATTTAGTAAATTCATTAGTATACAATATATGAAAGGAATACAAAATTAAAGACTCCATAACTTACGTCAAAAATCTCGAAACCAGCGATATCGAGTACACCAATGAATGAATGACGTTTGAGTCCTGTTTCAAGAGTGATGTTACACTTTTTCACCAGCCATTTGAACACACGATCGAACAAGGCCTTGGAGAGCGCACCGACGGAATAAGACACTTGGTTCACATTCCTGCCCTGAGTTACGAATTCAGCACCTACTTTGATCTTGGGCTTACACAAGCCCTTGTACAGATCGAGACCGTCAACACCGAGCAGCTTTCCAACCCTTTCACCAACCTTAAGAGAAAGGAAATAAACATCTTGCATTACCTATCTAATGCCTTGCTAAATAACTTTGTAGTTTTGCAATAATTACGATAAGCAAATGCTCAGTTAAACATCTGATCAACACGGAAGAAAATATGTAGTTGAGACTGCTAAGAGAACGTACCTCAGTACCCTCGGGTTCAGCCTGCTCCTCGCGACCCCTCTGCTTAAACTTCATTTCGCCAAAGTGCATAACAGATGCGGTGATCTTGTAAACATTTTCTTTATCTTCCTTTGAGAAACCAAGAATATCAAAGGCTTCCTATATGGGATATACAGAAAAGAATACAGCTTGAAATTAATAATTTACGAAAAAACAAAAATATTTTTAGTTAAATCAGCAACTCTCTCAGTAGTTTCATCACTCATTCACTGACAGAAAAGTTTATTTGTTACTGATAAACAAAAATTTAAGCTTACGCTGGCTAAGTTTACTAGTAAACCCTACTTGATTGTATGTACTTAAGTTATAACATAATTAATCAAAATATATCAAATTTTATTAAGTACGGTTTATATGTTTTGTTACTATTATACAAACTGTAAATATTTAAACCGAATCTGAACGCTTAAGGGCTTCTGTGAGAAGCTAGATAAATTTTGTATTTATTGAACAGAAGATAAAGTGTCTCCCGAACAGCCTCATGATTTAACGTGAAAATTTTTTTTAAGATATTTAATCGTTTTAAAGAGAAAATATGAGTCTAATAAGTCTTATGAATATAAAATATTAAAAAATACCAGCTATCTTGTTTATATAAAGGCTAATGTTAATAAAATAAGTGTTATCATACGACCTTATATTAACAAAATCCCTGCGACACAAACACTGAACTTACATCCGTGAACTGCATCTCTTCCTTGTCGTCAATAGAAGCAACGGTGATCTTGCCCTGAGACACGTAGTGGTAGTCGTAGATGTCGTTGCTAAGGAGACAAACTTCTGGAAACAGGAAAACAGGTCTTATGAGTTTAGAAAAATGTTGTATACTTAACAATTGTTTAATTTCTTTATATGCACAGCTGAGTTCTGAAGCAATAATTATGGCGGGTGTCCAGCAGTAAGTAATCTATAGATAAACTGTACTGCTATTCTAAATGTATATAAAGTGGTTTGATGTCAAAACGTCAAAAAGAAAACAACTTACCTTTAATTGATGTAACCTGATTCGACATCATTTGATAGAAGATATGGTAGGAACGCTCGGCGGGCTGCTGGGAGATGACACGAGCCTTCTCCAGCAGGTAGACCTCAATATCACCACCGGACAGCTTGCCGGAAGGCATGAAGTGGATACGGATGAACTTACCCTGTGTGGGCATAAGCCATCAGGATAAGCACTAATAATATGGTTATTGAGATATGCTTAACTTTTGTTGTAATTGTTATTATTTCTTTTTTTACTAATTTAGGACTGGGAATATCAAAAGGAAAAGGCGACCGAGAATGAGACTCACGAAGCGGGAAGAGTTGTCGTTACGGGTGGTCTTGGCGTTACCGAAGGCCTCTAGGATGGGGTTGGTCTGGATGATCTGATCCTCGAGGTTCTGAGGGCCAACACCAGAGACGGATTAGTAGCGGTACTTGTTGGTTATATCTTCCAGGCAATATTAGACTTCTGCTTAAAACTTACTACAAATTATGTGAAAGGATATGTTGAAAATTTAATATATTAAAAAAATATATAGTTTTACATTGGAAAAATCCCTTCTGCCTCGGCCCATTGTGTCTTACCTGTTTCTTCTCATCGCTCTTCTTCTTGGTGGTGGCGCCGACGTTGGCGAAGTAGGAGAGTACCTTCTTGGTGTTCTCTGTCTTACCAGCACCAGACTCACCGCTGTGGTAGGAAATATGTAAATGAATAACTGGAGCATCCTCAAAGACAAGAGCAGGTGTACGTAGAATGAATTCTGCAACAAGGTAGTTCGTGTCTACAAATGATGAGTAAGCAACCCTAACTGATTAAGTGCAATAGAAAAAAGTCCAGGAATCTGACATTCATTACAGTTAGGTATACGAGACACTACCAATAAGGCGGTGAAGCTGAGAAAGTCAACAACAAGACAGTGAAGGTAAAGAAGTGAACAACAAGACAGTGAAGGTAAGGAAGTGAACAGCAAGTCAGTGAAATTGAGAAAGTGAATAAGACAGTGAAGGTAAGGAAGTGAACAAAAAGACAGTGAAAGTAAGGAAGTGAACAGCAAGTCAGTGAAATTGAGAAAGTGAACAAGACAGTGAAGGTAAGGAAGTGAACAAAAAGACAGTGAAGGTAAGGAAGTGGACAAAAAGACAGTGAAGGTAAGGAAGTGAATAGCAAGACAGTGAAGCTGAGAAAGTGAACAATAAGACAGTGAAGGTAAGGAAGTGAACAACAAGACAGTGAAAGTAAGGAAGTGAATAGCAAGACAGTGAAGCTGAGAAAGTGAACAACAAGACAGTGAAGGTAAGGAATTGAACAACAAGACAGCGAAGGTAAGGAATTGAACAACAAAACAGTGAAGGTAAGGAAGTGAACAACAAGACAGTGAAGCTGAAAAAGTGAACAATAAGACAGTGAAGGTAAGGAAGTGAACAACAAGACAGTGAAGGTAAGGAAGTGAACAACAAGACAGTGAAGGTAAGGAAGTGAAAAACAAGACAGTGAAGCTGAGAAAGTGAACAATAAGACAGTGAAGGTAAGGAAGTGAACAACAAGACAGTGAAAGTAAGGAAGTGAATAGCAAGACAGTGAAGCTGAGAAAGTGAACAACAAGACAGTGAAGGTAAGGAATTGAACAACAAGACAGCGAAGGTAAGGAATTGAACAACAAAACAGTGAAGGTAAGGAAGTGAACAACAAGACAGTGAAGGTAAGGAAGTGAACAACAAGACAGTGAAGGTAAGGAATGAACAACAAGACAGTGAAGGTAAGGAAGTGAACAACAAGACAGTGACGCTGAGAAAGTGAACAACAAGACAGTGAAGGTAAGAAAGTGAACAACAAGACAGTGAAGGTAAGGAAGTGAACAACAAGACAGTGAAGGTTAGGACGTGAACAACAAGACAGTGAAAGGAAGGAAGTGAACAGCAAGACATTGAACGTAAGACAGTGAACAACAAGACACGGCAAGTAAGGAGGTGAACAACAAGACAGTGAAACTGAGAAAGTGAACAACAAGACAGTGAAACTGAGAAAGTGAACAACAAGACAGTGAAAGTAAGGAAGTGAACAGCAAGACATTGAACGTAAGACAGTGAACAACAAGACAGTGAATGTAAGGAAGTGAACAACAAGACAGTGAAGGTTAGGACGTGAACAACAAGACAGTGAAGGTTAGGAAGTGAACAACAAGACAGTGAAGGTTAGGAAGTGAACAGGAGTACAAAGAAGAAAGTATCAAGAAATATGGTGAGAGAAAACTAGATAAACGAGACATAACTTGATTAACGAGACATAACTAGATTAACGAGACATAACTTGATTAGCGAGACATAACTTGATTAACGAGATATAACTAGATTAACGAGACATAACTTGATTAACGAGACATAACTTGATTAACGAGACATAACTTGATTAAAGAGACATAACTTGATTAACGAGACATAACTTGATTAAAGAGACATAACTTACGTGATGAGCATAGACTGGTTCTCACCAACTGTAAGGAAGAGAATGTTTTGTTTTATGAGTCTGGCCAGATTTACAAAGATTCGTATTAAGAATGTTTTTCGTAATTCAAGGTGTAAAAATGCATCAAACTAATACCCAAACACAAAATAACATTAAAAAATAGCAGTAAGGTTACACCTAAAGACTGGCTATATACGTTCATGTAGTACCATTTAAAGGATCAATATTACCTCTTATTCATTTTAATTTGTTGGTGCTTTTTTTATATTATTTTGTTATTCAGATTAGTGTGTTGCCATTTACTCAGGCGCGACAAAATTCGGATTTTGGCCTTTATACTGTGCATACTTCATACACACCACCAAAAGAATTATATGCATCAATTTCTGAATGTGATATCACTTAAGAATACCATCAACTCTAAGTGGTTAATGACAAAGCTAGAAAATATAAAAACAGAATCTATGACAAACACAAGTTGTTCAAGAGAAGAAGGTTTGCGTAATGTTTCATGACAGGTGGAGGATCACCTGGCAGAGGGTGGGGCTGTTGGCCCGAGTGATGGTGGTGACTCAGTCTATTTATAACTTAAGCCAGTCAGATGATGCTACATCACTATAACACTCTAACCATATAAGGAAAGGGAGGTAACTTTATTATTTCTCCAGCTCGATTTCTTTTCTGTGAACATATACTAAACTCTTTATTTTATTTTTTTTCTTTCAGGTAACACAAGATTTATTTTTAAAATGAATTACAGATTATTGAGGTTTTGATACTCACGCTGTAACATGGCCATGTAGGCACCGTCGGAGATAGCGAAAATATGAGGAGGCACTTCATTACGCCTCTTGCCCTGGTAGATCTTGACCACACGGTTGGTGTAGATGGGGTACCGCTTGTAGGGGTTGACGGCGATACAGAAGAGACCGGAGTAGGTGTAGATGAGCTTGGCGACGTAACGGGTTTTCAAGTTGTGCAGGACGGAGGCATCGTTAAGGTAAGTCAAGTTGGACATGTCCTCGCATTTCTCGTACTTTGGAGGATTGACCTGTGCCACGAGGTCTTTCTTGAAATTCTTCGTTTCACCCTTCGCCATAACGGTCACAAGATCGCCCTTAGTGCCTTGAATCTCACCCTCGATGAAGCCATCTTTCTCATCTGGGATCCAACAAGACTTCTTTGCATCGTAAGGTTTGGTCTGATCCATTCGCTTCTGTTCCATGGAAACGAACAGGTACTCGGTGGGGTCGGGGTCAGGACCAGTGCTCTTCACGATGTGGCCCGGCATGTTGGTGGTGGAGATTCACAAGCTGTTGAAGTCAGACTCACGGGTACGGCTCTGGACTTACCTGAAAAAGGAACATTCTATATTAAGTATGGTATTACCCTAACTAGACAAAAAACTCATCATAACTAAGTACGAATATATGATAATTTAACTTGATTAAAACAGTATGTACAGAAGGAAACTAAATTTGTTTCCCAAATAAGAGAAAGACATTGTTTTTTCCTATTATTTCAATCTTGCAAATAGTGAACAACAGCTGTAATTCTAGGCCAAATAACCTGAAAATTGACAGCTTTTACCTTGGTCTACAACGTCCAAAAGACTTTTTTATTAGTATTTCTCTGTTGGTCTTTCTAAAGATTTATTAAGTCTAATAAATTGTGAGCAGCTGTTGGGTCATATTTAGAACAATTAAAATGAAACTTGAGTCACATGTACCTTGTTATAGATCCCCACTAATGATACCATTTACAGGAGCCCAAAGTATGTGAGATGGAATAAGGGTAAAGTGTGGCCTTCACTTAGGAATGTTGTCCTTTGCAAGTGGGAATTGTGAGCATTCAATACATGAAATAAATATTTTTATGTGAAATATATGATACTTTTCCATCAAAGCTAATTTAGTAAAAGAAAAGGTATTATTTTACTTTCGGACATGTGCATTTTGAACCCCATATATACCAGGCGGAAATGGATAATGGCGACACAATTGAATTTAAATGATTTTACGTACTTTTCAGTCTTCGTTTCTGTGAGGTATCATTGGAGTGAAAGCGACTTAATTATGGCTCACGTATGCGCAATATTGACTGACGTCATCCAGTAATGACCAAATATTTATTGATGGTGTAATGGTCAGCATCTTCGCCTCGGAAGCGAGCGGACTCGAGTTCGATCCTCGGGCAGGGTGAAACTATGTGCAAGTTTCTTTACGCCATTTGCCTCTGTCTACCCAGCAGTAATTGGGAACCTGGATGTTAATCAATTTACGGATCGTATTCCGGGGTAATGGTTAGCCAGTGCAGTTGGCGAGCTGTCCAGTCTCCTCGGACTATTCCGTGACACTTGGTCATGCAGCTCGTTAACTTAGGGTGTGGTTGTTGTGTTGGCGACAGCTTCTACACCTTAACAAATTCACGCCTAGGAGGCCCTTGGGCCGGCCATCCTCGATTTCGAGGGGCTTCCTTTATTATTATTACCGATATCATCACGGGATTTTTTTTTCGACCAATCACATTGAAATTTTTTCAAAGGAAGCAGCCTGGGTACGATTTGAATTTCATTGACCAGTCTGACAATGGCCGTGGTGGAGGTTGTTTGTCATTCGTGCTCCTACGATTATTTTAAGTTCATTGCTGAGTTTTACGAGAAAGACGATCATTCTATCCACTTCTAACTAAGGTATTAGACTTTCGGACATGGTGCGCCCAAAGTTTTAAACTACTGAAACATTTAGGTTCGGTTAGGTTAGTTTAAGCTAGGCCTACCGGGGTCAGTGGGTGGAGCCCCCGGCTATGGGTTTGGTTAGGTTAGGTTACGTTAGGTGAGGTTAGATGACTCGTTTTCGTTTTATCCCCCACCCAAAAACCTCGATTTCCCAGGCTCTCCCCCATTATTGTTTGGGAGGGGGGGGAGCAAAAACGAGCAATTTCCACCAAAAATTAAGGTCAGATTCGTTTAAAACACACCAAAATAAACTGGAAAAACATATTGGTCAACCCCTAAGGATTCATGTCCGAAAGTAAAAATATAAACAATTGAAATTGAACTGAAGAAAAAATCAGAAAGAGGCATTTGTTTGAAGTTAAATGTATAATAAGAGTTTGAATAATTCACTTACGAAACATGAGCAGTATAGGCTTGGGGACACCAAACTAGCTCCCACACCTTGATGGCCCCCACACCTAGATGGCCCCCACACCTAGATGACTCCCACACCTCGATGACTACCACACCTAGATGACTCCCACACCTCGATGACTCCCACACCTCGATGACTACCACACCTAGATGACTCCCACACCTAGTTGACTCCCACACCTAATTGACTCCCACACCTCGATGACTCCCACACCTAGATGACTCCCACACCTACATGACTCTTGCACCTAGATGACTCCCACTCCTATAAGACTCCCACATCAAGATGACTCCCACACCTAAATAACTCCCACACATACATGACTCCCACACCTAAATAACTCCCACACATACATGACTCCCACACCTACATGACTCCCAAACCTCGATGACTCCCACACCTAGATGGCCCCACACCAAGATGACTCCCACACCTACATGACTCCCACACCTACATGACTCTCGCACCTAGATGAATCCCACACCTATAAGACTCCCACACCTAGATGGCCCCCACACCTAGATGGCGGGATGGGAAGAGAGAGAGGCCCAGAAATTATTGCTCGAGAGGCAATGATTTTGATATAATGGAATTCAAATAAAATCCGCTAAAAAAGCTCTTGCAGTTTTTGAAATCCTTGTTTCTCCCAACACACACACACACACTCTCTCTCTCTCTCTCTCTCTGTATGAACCAACTGAATCAACACTGAAGGAGCTCCACCAGTCACTTGCGATAGTAAACGAATTGTCACTCCTCCCTCGGCCTCCCACACCTCTTACACAACAAATTCAAAGAAGCATAGAAAAATAAAAGAAAGTCAAAAGTTATATCAATGAGTGTTGGGTCTTCGAAAATAGACTTATATCCGAGGAATATCAAAGTAAACTCAGGTATGTTGCCCCCCATCACTAATGCTGACACAAATAAGGCCACCCTCGCTCCTCTCGCAAATTCATTTGCTTCAAAAGCACTTCCTCCCAAAGTTATTATTCTTAGAAAATATGGAATAAGAGACACTTTAATGTGATGTGCGATGTGCTTCATGCTTTGGTTTAAATGTTTGTTTGTTTTCATATTGTTTCATGTTAGTTATCATAATCATTGTAATACTTGAGATTCTGGCTAATGGAAATTAAAAAAAATAAAGAAACAAAACTTAAATGATGCAAACAAGAATAATTTAATTATGAATGAACTGAGAGTAAACGATATAAATTATATTGAATGAAAATATGAAAAAAGAAACTTGGCAAGTTGTCTGTCTGTCTCTTGTTAACGAAACCAGACTTATAGCGTGGCTCTGTTGTGCATTCCCCTGTCACCAGTCCTCGTAATGAGTGCTTATTATTTATATGTTCACTGTCGTTGGTTTATCATAATAAGAACATAAATTTTCACAAAATGAATTTCCCCTTCGTATAGTGCAAAGTAATTATATTTCAGTAATAACAAAGGCTATTAAAATAATGTCGAATAAGTAATAGTTAAATAAGTACTTTCCGTACCTAACGAAACTGGAAAATTATAGAATAATCACGAATTCAAAGGTGTTTCTTCATAATTTAAACAATATCGCTGTGGTCTAGTATCTTATGCCTCTAAATAAAAGGTTAGACCCAAATAACAACATGTCGTAGGCAGGTAAACACTCGCGCCACGCTGAGGTAGACAACGTCTCTCAACCACAAGTGACGTCACGGAGGACCAAAGGGTTTTCCACGAAAGTACAAATATATCAATCGGTCAGTAATCAAGAGGGGGTCCCATATTATCTAGAGCAGAGTCAGCCAATATCTTAAGCATGGTTAGCTAAAACCGGTTCTTAAAATACACTTAATTTTATAACATTCACACCCGAGACGATATCCAAGACTTGGTGGTAATTATGGTCGACTAGTTCTACACCTGTGCGATGCCGTCTGCTTTTTGCATATTTTTTTTCGTGTTCGCAAAACCTCACACTTCCAACGTCCTTGTCAATTAGATATCCAGGTAAGGTGCACAGGGTGAACACATGAAGATGGTTGAACAGTTCTTACTTACAACAACCTTCCCAGTTCTGCCACGAGCACACCACCTTCACGATCACCGTTTGGAGGGCACCTGCGGGCAGGGAGTGGGAGGAAGGTCTTCATATACCCACCCACCATGGCAGTGGGAGGTAGGGGAGTAGGCAAGGAATGTATAATAATAGAGTTGAGTTTGACAGGATGGGAGCCGGCAGTTCATCTACGGGACCCTTGGCTCATGTTACACGCTGGGTATGAGCACCTGCCCAGTTATGATAAGTTGAAACACGGTAAGTGAACATAGAAAAGACGGTCCCATATGTGGACAATTATAAAAATATATATATTATCTACAGTAATGTAATGATTTCTAAAATACGTCCTCCATGTGCTTTTAGATTAAGATTTTCAACTGAGTAGTTATTACTGAGAGTCAATAATGGTCTAACTAAACAAAATACTTATGTTATGTTTCTTTTTTTTTAGAAAACAGAAAAGTTAGAGTATTATCTCTATTGATGATTAAATTTGATTACATCATGGTAGAAAACAAGTTCCTGATACATGCACGATGTTGTAATAAAAGTGATGCCATGGATAGAGAGAACGTGTATAATTCATAATATTGAACCATTTACAAGTATTTTGAAGTTACATAAAAGTTTTAAAGAATAGGACAAAATTTAATCATAAAAAGGGAATCTTCACTCCAATGAACACTGGCACGAAGCACGACATATGCATCAGTTAGTCTTCTCTTTACATTATGACGACGATTTAGGAAAAATACTTACAATGTGACGACGAATTAAGGAACATAAATCGATTTAAAATGCAATCATTTACTATATAGTTTAAATATAGTAAAAACGATAAATCAATAGAAAACAATACCCACGAAGTACCTATCACTCCGTCGCCTACCAGAGCATGTGTCAACATCAGCGCCATAAATCACACACTCGCCAGCCAGCCTTCGTTGTGAATGGACGTCTCTCTAGACCCCTCACTGCCAAGCCAGCCAGCCTATCTCTTACCCTTGACGAACTGAACTTAAACGACCACCTCACTAACCATCACCCCCGGCGAGGTAGGTTCTCCCGGCTCCACGCTCCTGTCTCCCGAGGTACCACGTGACCATGTTCACCTTTGACCAGGCGAAGGTCATTAGACTGGTTCCAGTCAATTGCCCTTCGCCCAAAGAACTAAACCTCCTTGTCCTGAGGAAGTTTTTTGACTCCTCGGGAATCACGGGGATGACAGGGGTAGTCCGCCACAGCGGTTACCTTAAAGTCACCTTCGTGGAGTGGGGAGGGCCCAAGCAATTAATATATACTAAAGAAATCAATGGAATCAAGATCAAACTTGGATGGTCCGATTTGGACAACGTGGTTATGGGAGTCATCTCCCACAAAGAAATCGAACATCTCAAACGAGAAGAAATTTTTGAGCTGATCGGATATCCGTTGTGCTATGCTAGGAAGCTGACCAGCACAACTGCCCTGGTTGGCTTCCCAAAGGAACTTCCCAGCTCCGTTTTACTGGGTTGGGAGAAAATCCCAGTAAAACCATACCAGGAAAAACCTACTCGTTGCTACAATTGCCAGAAGTACGGCCATCTGGCGCGGAAGTGTCGTGCTCGGGAGGTGTGTTCAAGCTGCGGGACACCCGGCCACATTGACGCTGACTGCCAGGCGGCCGCGAAGAAGTGCGCAACTTGTGGTGGCCCTCACTCCTCCTCCGACCGGGAGTGTCCCAAGTGGAGGGAGGAGTGCAGGGTGGCCAGGCTGCGGGCTAAAGAGAAACTGAGCTACAAGGAGGCCCTCCTTGTAGTGAAAAATCAAGAAAAGAAAAAGCAAGACAAGAACAACCAAGACAAGAACAACCAAGACAAGAACAACCAAGACAAGAACAACCAAGAACCCGATAACATTACACTATCTTTGACATCGATTATTGATGTGTACGAGAATATCCTAACAGAAGACCAGAAAGAAGAAGACCAAAAAGAAGAAGACGAAGAACAAGAAGAAGAATGGGAAGTGAAAAGTAAAAGAAGAAACAAGAAAAAAAAGATGTCCAACCAATCAGCTTCGGCCGAAATAGCCTAACGGCGAAGAGGCCAGTAATCCCCAACAACAAGAACAACCATCACTTTGACACGTGGGAAGCTTGTTCCAGACAACGCCCTTTCTGTTCCTCCCCACTGATCAGGGGTGACTCCTGATCAGAGGCGGCCCTGATTGGGTGCTCTGCAACGGCTTCTTGCAGCGGACTTGTACCGCGACCCCACCGATGCTACTTACACCAGTGGCTATTCTTCCTCTTTTCTTCCTTCTTTTTCGCTCTGGCCTGGGGACCTGCACCCTAAGGTGTATTCGTCCTTGAGTGCCCCCTGTAACTGTTCACCTCCCTCCCAGGAGTTTGTGAACAAGAAAGGGGGCAGGAGCATTACCCATCCCTCCGCCGAGCCTTCCTAGGTAACCGTGATCGTACGGGTCCACCGGGGAAGGGGGTCGCAATCCTGAATCCCTACCCCCCCCCCTAATTAGGTACACTAGCTCACGTCTATAAGTGAGCATTCAGTAACACTGGGGAAGTAGGATCCCCTGACGGGGCTTCCGGGACAGAGTTGCGGGAACCACTCTACGACCACTCGACCAACAAGAGGCGGTGGGGAGTGTTGTAATTCCTGTAACAAACTCCTGTCCTGGAATAGGTAGGTCTCCAATCTGAAATCACGCAAGGGTGGCATGTCCACCACATACTCACTAGAATGAGGGCACACCGGATACGGATACGCTCCCATGAAGGGGGCGTGACTGACGAGAGAAAAACCGAATTGGCAAGGCTCCTTACTGCAACACTACTCATCAAAATATCCAACCTCATCACGACCAAGGACTCCTTCGTCGCCCTGTGCCTGACTGAGAATGATGTCGACTTACTCTTATCGAACGACAGCACAAGGAAACTCAAGTCCGCGAAATTTGAAGTTGCAGTCCCTCCTCAACTCCGAGCGAGGAAATCAATTGTGGTCAAACGACTAGATAAAGCAATCACCGAAGAATCAAGTGAACAGCAGTTGGTATCTGATATAGAAGACAAAAACGAATGGGCCAAGGTGGAGGAAGTGGTCAAGCTGCCCAGACTGCCATCCATGCTCAAAATACGATTCACGGAAATAGCCATGGCCCAAAAAGCAATCCAGGAGGGACTTTGTCTCTCCTACTACCATGTCAGCAGCAGCCAGGTGGAGCAGGAGGAATTCTTCCCCATCATTCCATGCTGGAATTGTTACCAATATTCACACATGGCTACAGACTGCCCTAACAAGGACACCAAGCACTGCTCAGAATGCGGGAATAAGGGGCACACCTTCAGAGAGTGCAAAAACAAAGATAATCCCAAATGCCAAAACTGCGAAGGAGATCATAGAACACTGGCTACTCGCTGCCCCATACGAAAAGCAATAGTCAACCAAAAGAAGGAGAAGGAGAGGGAGAAGACACAGGAACAGCAAAACAAGACATATTCAGCTGTGACAAAACTAACCAGAGAAACGACAAAGATCCTCGAAAAAGTCGCCACACCACCCCCCGCAAACCAACCTATTTTGCTTCAGCTTGGAAATAATCTTTCCGTAAAAATAATGACCTCCATAATCCACGCCCACATCATGAATATAGCCAGACCTGGAACTTTTGCCAAGGCAGCAAGGGACATGTTCGCCGCCAACAACCTGCCAGACATGGAATTCCCAAACGATGTGCCTTCTACTGAAATTTTCAACTTAATTTACAAATCAGAGAACACTGCAACTCAAATACCAACAACTCACGAACCATCAACTCACGAACCATCAACTCACGAACCATCAACTCAAGAACAGACTACCTCAGGCATACAACCCGAGCCAGCAAGCGAGGAAGAATCGATGGAAGACGCAAGCGAAGATGAAACCACCACAATAACAGAACAAGCCGCCAGAGTCAACACCCAAAAAAGAATCAAGCAGGAACTATGGCACCACCTGCTACGGAGAACAAAGCCCTAGGGCATGAAACTGGTATTCGATTTAACTTCACTACAGCTCCCCCCATAGTCTCAACAGAAAGACTATTGGCAGAAATAAGGCAAGGCAAGATTAAATACACATACTCAGACAAAAACCTAGATGACACTATATTGAAACACTAATCAAGAAGGGAAGAATACTCACAAGACACAACAGAATAGAGAGAGTTGATCAGTCAACATATAAAAAGATCCGCCTGGGCCTGGACAGGAGGGTGTCAGGGGAGCACCGGTCAGCAAAAATGACGCAAACCAGCTCTAGGCACCAGCCTTCATAATAAATAAGCTTAAAATAATCCAACATAATGTCTTAGCATGGATCCCACAAAGAGCAAGCGAATTATATAACACATACCGTAAAATAGACCCAGATATTATTCTCATCAATTCGCATGGTAAGAAAAACTCAGAAAAAATAAAACTATTTAACTACACAGTCTACCAAAAAAACAATCAAGACACTCTACATGATGGAATTGCCATAGCCATCAAACGAAACATACAACACAAGATACACGACTCATTTCAAGAAAACTTTCTGGCGATCGAAATTAACTGCCCAACAGGACCTATTATAATCGGCACCTGTTACCTCCCTCCGAGAAGACCCATATTCCCACTAGCAGACATGCTCAAACTCCTGAGAAGAAACATACCAGCATATTTCTTGGGTGATTTAAATGCACGACATCGCGTCTTGGGGCACCAGGACAACAACGCCGTGGGCAAGATTTTAAACACATTACTGAGTCACGGCAACGCAATACACCTTGGCCCGGAATTCCCCACATACATCAGAGCAGGTCAAATCGGACATCCAGACATAGTACTAACAAACCAGCATCACCATCTTAACCTGCAAATGGAACCCGGCCCAATAACCACCAGTGACCATCTCCCTATCGTAGCCACACTCTCCACGTCGCCAATACAGATCCCTGCCAGGATGAGATACAGCTACAGCCGGTCCAACTGGGAGGAATTCCAAAAGGAGTTAAGCAACCACCAAATAACCCAACTAAACAACAAACACACCTCCCAAATAGACAG